CCTCCTAGCACGCCGGGCGCAATGGGAATTGCGCCGGGCACGTTGAGCTCTGGTGCTCTCTAGTTGTGCCATGCTGGGCGTGACTATGAGCGCGCCGGGCGCAGACATGATATTTGATGTTAAGCTGTTATGTATAGAAATTTGCTGATAGATATGCTGAGCTGAGCTGTAGATGTTAAATATTATTGTGCTGACTAGTTGATAATGCTGAATTATGATGTTGAGCTGTAGTTGCTGATATTGCTGTGCTGTAAGTTGTTTAGTTGAGCTATAAGCCGCTATTGCTGTATGCTGATTTGCTGTGCTACGCTGTATATTGTTGAATTGTGCTGTTATTGCCGCTATGCGGTGCTGTTATTGCCGCTATGCGGTGTTGTTATTGCCGTTATGCGGTGCTGTTATTACTGCTATGCAGTGCTGTGCTCCGTGCTGATAGGAGCTGTTATAGGCCGTAAGGCTGAGCTGTTGTAGGTCGTAAGGCTGAGCTGTTGATCACTAAGACTAGAGGAGTTGTTTTCGAAATTTACCTCATCCCATTGTGTGGATGCAGCGGTTGTGGTGCTCTTTGAGCCCAATTTGTTGAAAACCCTCCCTGGAAGCTGACCTTAGGAGTGGTAATTTGTTGTTCTCCTCTAGGTTCTTAGTGGTCTCGTGTGTGGGCAAGGTCGAGGCACACGTGTACAAAGCGACCACGGTATAGGGGCCAGGTCGAGCGATACCGCTTACAAGCGACCAATACTAACTTATATGCGTGACGACGCATTGTGTGTTTACTGTTGTTTACCGCTGTGTACTGCTGTTTACTGCTTTTATTGCTGAATGATGTGAGATGTGTGCTGTTATTTATATTAAGCTGATGTTGTTAAGTTGATTGATGTGTTGATAGCTGTAGCCATTTACTATTCATATATTTATATATGTATGTTGTTTCTTTTCACTAGCTTACCCTTTGTTGTTTCCATGTGGTTTGGACTGCGATGATCATACTATGTATGGGAGCAGAGCAGGGTTAGGTTGGTGTGCTGAGGAGAGTCTGCAGCTGGCAGATGGCGTTTTATTATTTTGTTGTATTTAGCTATTTAGTATAGCGATGCTGAATGTATTTTGTGCACTCTAACTCTGGCCAGGTTTGGACCTTGTATATATATATATATATATATATTCTAGACACTATATGTATCTACTTGTTCGTTTCTGTGTGGTGTTCTGGTGTATTGTGCTGTGTGTAGTGACCAGTCGGGTCGTTACACTTTAGTGGTATCAGAGCAGTTCGAGTCTAGTGGAACACTCTGTGGGGGTGGTCCCTTTAGGCTTTTGTTGTGCTGAGCTCTGTGTTGTGTTGATTTCTTTGTTGATTGTTGTGAATGAGAAGAGGTACAAGGTGAACTTGATCTGTTTGCCTTTAGTGGATATTGACATAATCTTAGGAATGGATTGGTTGTCTGCCAATCGCATTCTTATAGATTATGCCAATAGGAGGTTGATCTTTCCTCAGGTGGAGGATGAGCTGTTGATTTCAGCTAGCTAAGCTGAATCATTGTTGAGAGTTGGAGCAGAGTGCTGTTTTTTGCTTACTGCCATGAGTGTGGAGACCGATAGGGTCATAGCTGAGATTGATGTGGTGTGGGATTTTGCTGAGGTGTTCCCGGATGAGGTGCCTAGGTTGCCTCCTACTAGGGAGATGGAGTTTAGCATTGACTTGGTTCCAGGTGCGGGGCCAGTGTCGGTGGCTCCTTATAGGATGGCCCCTGCTGAGCTAGTTGAGCTGAAAGGTCAGTTGGAGGACCTGTTGGAGAAGTAGTTGGTGCGACCGAGTGTATCGTTGTGGGGTGCTCCCGTGTTGTTGGTGAAGAAGAAAGATGGAGGTAGTCGACTGTGTGCTGAGGAGAGTCTGCAACTGGCAGATGGCGTTTGATTATTTTGTTATATTTAACTATTTAGTATAGCGATGCTGGTTGTATTTTGTGCACTCTAATTCTGGCCAGATTTGGACCTTGTATATATATATAT